TCCAAGACAAATGCAACACAAATCTCCTGGACCAACAACAGATCTGTTTTTCATTATTCCATTGAGCTGAATCGCACCCATTCAAATTTCTCATTGCATAGACTGAAAATAAATCATGAGTTTCCTACAAAGCTCATTATTCTTAGCGCTCAACCTGAAGATGAAGGACTTTATACATGTAACATAACAGACAGACGTGGCGTAAACAGCATTACATGGAATTTGACTGTGTCTGAGAACCCCACAGGTAGGTAGACAAAAAGCAGATCCAGTCAATTCTAGCAAAGGTCAAACAAGCATTTTAAATTAATTCACTGCTGATTTGATACAGAATCCACTTCATCAAAGTATTTTCTATACATACTCCCACCTGCAATTGGATTCCTTCTGTGTTGCATCACACTAGCTGTGTTTCTCTACAGGTGAGTAAAACCTTTTTATCTTCATAATGAATGTATGAATGTGATTATTTTTTGTTTGTCTGTAGAAGTGTTCTCAGTACTATGTGCATATTAGTATTGTACAGCACTTTGGTCTACCAGGTGTGTTTTTAAAATGCTATATAAATAAATAAATGATGATGATGATGATGATGTAAGACTGATTGGATTATAAAACACTATTTTCTATTTCCTACATTGAAAGTGTTTAAAGTTTGTTTTAAATAAGTAAAGAGGGAAATAGAAATGTGATATTGTGGCTTATACCATTGCGTTCATAGATGTGATGATTAATATTGTCATATTTCTATGATGTTTTTAAAGCAAATCATTACATTAGTGATCACAGGCTCAGTGCCTCATTGCACAAAGCTCAGATCTTTTTCATTGCTAAATGCAAGTTTTTATTTAATAAGATGATGCATTATTATCTATCTTTGAAAACTTCAAGGATGAAAGAGCTCAGACTTTTTTTTTCACTACTTCTATAAGCACCGCAAACCTGCTCTGAATTTAAAGTTGTGAATCAGCCCGCTGTGCTTTCTTGCAGGGGGGCTATTGTTATATACAACAAGGCAAAAAGTGACAATGACAGAAGTAAAGAACTGGCTAAAAGTGGTTAGAGTCAAAGCTGTCATTCACTGAGGCAACCCTTCGCCAACATGTACATTTACATCCTACAACTACAAAAGAATGCAAGCTGAACTCATTCTGTACAGATTCATCATACATTTGGAAAAACCCCATTAAAATAACAAAGAAGACGTCGTCCCACTAAACACTGGATGTTTTATAGACGTGCACTTTTGTTTTAGCTCAAGAGCTTGCGTCATCTTGGAGATGCCCGCTAATCGCTCTGCATTCCTTCATACATAACTGTTATGATCAATCCCATTTCAGA